ATAGCGTTAAAAAAAAAAAGTCCCAAGAAAATGTGCACTTAGTAAAGCACTTTTCCTAATTTAACACTCAAAAATGTGTTTTAAATTTTTAAAAGCGTAGAGAACTTTGATTTTTTAATTTACAAAAAAATTTTGTAAATCAGGAAATTTTTCAAAAATATATTTCTACCTTTTTGATCATTTTCACTATTCTTGTTAATTATAGATGATTTTGTCGTAAAAAAAAAGATACGAAAAGCAGGAAACTTAACGACTGAGCAATATTTTATCTTGATGAAAAAAATCGAGGCAATTTCTTTTAATTCGCGTATTATCTGCTTAGTATGAAATATCGTCACTTCCGCTGGAAATATTTTCGATAATCTTGATTCTTTTCCAGATTCTTTCCCGTTCGTGAAAATAATATCGACGAGTGTAATACGTTACACGTAACGTATGCGTTATTGCAATTTCCAACAAATAATTGTAATTCCATGATGGAGAGGATCAAAGTGAAAGAACTTTCATTTGTTTATTTATTTTTTATTCAACGTAAAACGCAATCTTCTTCGTGCATCGCAATATATTAATACGTAATAATAACTTTCTTAAGTCTTATTTTTTGAGCATTACAAATTCTACTCTCTCTCTCTCTCTCTCTCTCTCTCTCTCTATTATCATAAATCATCGATAATAATTTCCTCCAAATATTTTATCGAAAACTAATGTATTTATAACCAAAATGTTTCCTTTTGATAAATTATTTTGCATAGCAACAATTTCTATGCCACATCGTTTGCTCTTTCATTTTCAGAAATTGTTCAAAAATTGTTTCAAAGGAGGAGAAATGAAGCGACTCTGATTTTTTTTTTTTTTTAAAAGAAAAGTACGAACCAAAGGGAACGCAAAGAGGAGTTTTCGGTGGGAAAACGCATAAATAAGAGACAAGTTGTTTTCTGTATAATTCACCAGACAATGTTTATTCAGACGACCTCACAACTCCCAAGCGTACAAAACGACGTGCTCACTGGGCAATATGCGGGGCTGCGTTTGTATTCTTGCAATTGTAATACAGTACACTTTCGGTATGCTCGTTTATTTCTTTCCGTACAATTTTATTTTATTTTTTTATTTTTATCTTTATTATTCATTCCACCATTCATATTATTCATTTATTATTACGCATTTATTATTTTTTTTTTTTTTTTACGTTTTTTATTTTTCTCCCTATACTCTTTGTTGTTGCGCTCTGCCTTGCACTTTGTTTCTCATCTTGTTTCCACCAAGAAACAACAGCTACTTGCATCTTCCTTTTTTTTTTCTTAATGGATAGAGAAATATATCATACTTTATGTATCGTTTACTATAATAATCATTATGTGTAGTTTATGCATAACAAGTATTACGAATATCAACGCTAGTTCGCTTGCGGGGGACATATCCAGGGCTCATATTGAGGACTCACAAGGGGGGTCGGGTCTGAGAAAACGGTTTCGGGATAACTCTTGTTAAAAGTGTTGGGACGTAAAGGACGTAATAATACGGGCAATTATACGGAGAGTTGGACAAACGGAGAGGGGATTTGCTGAAGAGACAAGAGTTCGATCTGTCGAAGAATAGCGGAAAAATTGCTGCGCCACACTGCGATACCGCATAGTTTAATGTGTGCGATACACAGTTTTGGCTTAAGGCTACAACGATTCGGATGACAACTGTTCACAAGGCTCTCTGGATGGCTCTCTAAGCGGGGATCTGGCTAATCTGCTGCAGGAAGGAAACAAGGGGGTGTTCGTTTCAAAGGTATTGTGTATGTGTGTAGCATAAATGACAGCAAGAAGGATTTCAAGGGTCAAAAAACGAGTCGAGGGAGCGTGTGTCTGCGCGTGTTCCCGTGTATCTGTGTGTGTGTGTGTATGTGTATGTCTCTGCCTGCGTGTACACGATACGTAAAAATGGGAGGGAATGACTTTGTCCTCGAATACAATAAATACACAGAGTGGTCTCACTACTAGAAGCTTCTTCGGGGTTGTGTTGTTGTGTGTGTGTGTGTGTGTGTGTGCATACGTGTGTATACGTGTTTCCATGTTTTTTTTTTCTTGCTGCGTGGTGTGATTAAGGGATTCGGTGAACGGTGCTGCGCACAAAAAAGTAGCGAGACAACGGTTTTCTGCATGCCCATCGAGCAGTTCTTTTTTTCATGCCCTACGATTTTCATCTTTTTTCTCTTTCTCTCTTCCTTTTTTTTCCCTATTTTGCGACGCTCTCTTCGTTTCCCTACCTCGCGTGTGCAGTGATTGCTCTATCTACTAATATATCGCTCTCCCTCTCTCTCTGTCTTTCGCTCTCTCTCTCTCTCTCTCTCGCTCTCCCTTTTACTTTTTCGCTCGTTTCAACTATGTTCAACCTGCTTATGCATATTTCCGTGTTTCAAAAACGCATGTGTGTGTGTGTGTATCATGTATTTACGTGGATTGTTACATTAAGCGTGGTAGTGTTCACTAGATTTGTTGTTCTTGTTGCTGCTGCGTTTTATTATTTTTTTTATTTCTCGCGCGATTGACCGTTTTATTCCTTTTCTCCTTTTTTATTCTCTCTCTCTCTATGCCTTATCTCTCTCCTGCACCGATAATAATTCTCTCGGCGTCGACTGTACTACGGGGGGGCATAAGGGGGTGGGGCGGGCGTCTCAACAACACGTCGGCGGCGGCCCGCCGCGTATATCTTCGCACTGTGTATGTGTGTGTGTTTTTTTATATTTTTCTTTTCGCCTCTTTTCACGCTTGTTTCGCTCTCTATTCTTTTCCCTTTACGTATCTCTCTCTCTCTCTCTCTCTTTCTCTCGCACACTTTCTCCTTTCTCACCGAGCGTTTCGTTTTTCTCCGGAAAAAAAAAAAGCAAAAAACTCGTCCACTCGCGCCTTCTAGGACTTAGCCTTACGAATCTACTATTTACACTGCGCCTTTTTTGTTTCTCTTTTTTTTTTTCTTTTATTTAATGCCGATTATTATATCGCACTTGACTTCGTTTTTCTCTCTCTCTCTCTCTCTCTCTTTCTCTCAACGCACTCGATATTCTTTCTTTCTTTTCTCGTCGTTCTATATCTTTCCTCGTCACTCTTTAACTCTCTTCGTCTCGCTCACCCACACGCGCACGTATTTCACACGCTCTCTCTTTCTCTCTCTCTCTCTCTCTGCTATCGTTACACACGTTTTGCCTCTCGTCTCCTCTTACCGTTTCACTCATTCTCTCTCTCTCTCTCTACGTATTCCGTTTCTACGCGTATCTCGTTCGATCCATCTCTGTCTCGAACGACACGCGACCCCACGTGCGAACACACGCTTCGTCGCGTGTCTTCTATCCTTTTTCTCGTTTTTAATCTCCGTTTCTTTTTCCGTTTTCTTTTTTTTTTTTTTTCCCTCTTGTGGGTGTTTACATGATTTGAAACATGGTTGGTTTTCGCGATACAACGTGGAAACAACGTTTGACACGATTCGAATTACGGATAGGGGTGTTAGACAGAGATGGTCGTATGCGGATGGACGCATTCAGACAGAGACGAGAGACACAACACGATTTCGGCTTTACAAAGGTACGGTTGATTGCAAACTTCTGGAGGCCGCGGCGGGCCGGGTCAGTCTCATATACATGTTCTGAAACGAAACATCGTCTTTTTTTTTTCTTTTTCTACTTTTTTAAAATCGTTTTCTGTTTTTTTTTTTTTCTTTTTTAAAATGCGCGTTTTCCCGTCAAGTCGCAATCGATCGATCTGAAAAGTAGTTTTCTTTTTCCTTTCCATCCTTAATCTTTTCCTTTCTTTTACCTTCCGTTTTTTATATTCGTTTATATCTGTCTATTTTCTATTTTTTTTCTTTCTTTTGTTTTGTCTCTCTCTGCATTCTTTTCATTTTTGTTATTTTTGTTGCGATTTTGCCCCGACTCACTTGCACAAGCACGCTCACGTTCCATTCGTTCGTTTATGTTGCTTTTTTTTTTTTGTTCCTGGTCGATCTCATGCATTCGTACTCTCTCTCTCTCTCTCTTGCTCTCTTTGTAATTTTCTCTCTCTCTCTCTCTCTCTCTTCCATTCGTACGCTCGTCTTTTTTTCTTTCCCTACTCGCACATACACAAGATGATAACGTTTCTTTTACGATTATTATTATACCTTACACATGTTACAATAATATTAATTACTTTTAATAATATTCAATAATTATAGTATAGTAGATGATCGATGAATGAGGTGGAGTACTGTACAGGATGCGCGATTTCCATGATTATCACATGTAAGATAGATTATTCAAAAATTTTTTTCTGTAACATTCAATCCTCCCTCTCTTTCTTTTTTTTTTTTTATTCTTCCTCTTCCGTTTCTACCGCTATCTCTTTCTCTCTCACCCCTTCTTCCTCTTCCAAAGGGGTATCGACACGCTATCTCGCCAGATCGTCTAGACCAGATAGCTTACCTTCCTGTTGTGGCTGTTGTTCTTCGAGTTTCGTCGATAGGTGGTAGGTAAGGTAGATGGGTAGGTTTAGCTTCCGTTTTAAAGTGATGCACACTTGGTGATTCCCAAAAAAAGGGGGGAGAAAAAAAAAAAAAACAAAGCACTCTCTCCGTTTCCCCGTTTTTTTTTTTTTTTTTTTTTTT